AGGCGATCGAGCTTTACTGCCAGGACGCGATTGAGCGTACGGCCAACACGGTGCTCGACGAGAAGCTGATCACCGAGGCGTGCATCTACGTGCCCCACCAGGTCAACCGACTGGCGTTCACGAAAGGGTACTCACCATGCCAGCGGGTTCTGGGCATGGACCCCACTGCGACGATGACCAATTCCAGCGACAAGTTCTCACCAGCGACCCTGTGCCAGATGAAGGGGGACGAGGACTTCAAGGACGTGCTGGAGAGGAGGTCTATGGCGGCGTTAGCTTTCATGAAAGCGGACGCTTCAGCCAAGCTACGACGCGCGCTCCTACGGCGACATGTGGCGCTCAAGCACGACCTTTCCATCGGCCAGCGGTGTTACTACTGGCGCGAGGGCAAGACCAACAAGCTTATCAAGAACAAGTCGAAGGGCCCCGCAGTCGCGGTGTTCAAGGAGATGCGCCAGGACGAGAGTGGACCACGCATCTCCTGGATCGTTCACGGCACGCAGCTACTACGGTGTGCACCCGAACACGTTCGGCCAGACGTGAGTGATCAAGGGTGCGTTCTACTCGAGAACCTGACCCAGGCCAAGGATGCACTGGGCAGTATGCGGAGGACGGGCGTGACGCAGTACCACGACATTAGCTCGCAGCAGCCCCCGTTCGACGCACCGGGCGACTCGGACATGGACGTCGACGACAACGCGGAGGACGGAGACGGAGACGAAGGTCCAGCATCTCAGCGACGTCGAGGAGGCGGTTCTGATCCTAGGACGGCCCCAGTGGTGGAGGTACCAACAGAGGCATCGTCATCCGGGTCAGCGGCGGCAGCAGCTTCAGCAACACCAGAGGTGCCGCCAGCCGCGGCAGCTCCAGCGGAGGATCTTCCAGACGCGGAGGCGCCAGTAGCCGACGGCAGTCGACAGACGTCGAACTTTGGTCAGCCAGACCAGGAGCCGATGCCGACGACACCCCCACCAGAGCCAGAGCAGCCAGAAGCTCAACCGACAGCACAGCCCACGCAGACAGCGCAGCCAGCAGCATCATCGTCATCAGCGGCGGCAGCACCATCATCGGAGCAGGAGCTCGGATCGACACAGACGCAGTCGAGGTTTATCTCGAATCTTCAGAAAGAGCGGCTCAGGATGGTCAAAGCAGAGGCGGCGATTTTCACCAGACCTGGAGGAGGAGTCTTCAGAGGCACTCTACCCGACCCGGGACTGAGCAGCGCGGTACCAGTACCAGACCTCGACGATGCTGACGACGAACTCGCAGCTCTACAGCTGATGGTCACCAGTCAGGATTTGCCATTCGGCTGGGATTTCGACGGCACGGAGGCGAAGCTCAGCGACATCTTCGTGGACACCAGCACGAGGAACATGACGCCCCACGAGCGCGCGGCGTTCATGCAGGGCAAGCGGAAGGAGCTGGCGGAGTTCTTCGGCAATGACGTCTGGGAGTTTCACAAGCCCACCGGCGAGGAGGACCCTCGGCGGATACTCAAGGCGAAGTGGGTGCTCAAGTGGACGAAGAACGACGACGGCACACCACGTGCCAAGGCGCGGCTGGCACTGCAAGATTTCAACGACCCCGACGCACTCAGCGGCGCAGTACCGACGGCATCGCCTACAGCATCGAGACTGGCAAAACAGATGGCACTACTACTGGCGGCTAATAACGGCTGGAGGCTGTGGACAGCAGACGTAGCTACTGCATTTCTTCAAGGGCGAACCCAAGAGCGTGAGCTATACGCGAAGGTGCCCAAAGATGCGGCAAAGCTCATGGGCATCGAGTCGGAAACTCTCATGAAGCTCATTAAGCCCATGTAAGGCCAGGTGGACGCACCAAGGCGTTGGTGGCTACGCGCGGTAGACGACCTGAGGGCCAGCGGTCTCAAGCAGCATCCCTTGGGCCCCTGCATGTTCATCAGCCTCGATGAAGACGGCAACTGTGACGGGCTCTTTCTACTTTACGTGGACGATATGCTTGGAGGTGGAGATCGGCGGCCGGGCAGTAACTACAGTCGGGCTATCTATCGCCGAGGTGAAGCGGAAGTTCAAGTTCAGGAAATGGATCGAAGACGACAAGATGGACTACTGTGGCAGCGACGTGACGCAGACCCCGCACTGGGATAACCCGAAGTCGAACAGCAGCGAGATTGAGGTGAAGATGGCGACCTACGCGAAGAACCTGAAGCCCATCACGATCGACCAGAAGAGCAGCGACAACACGAGGGAGCTCACTATCAAGGAGAAGCGGCAGCTACGAGGTCTACTCGGAGCGTTGCAGTGGCCAAGATCTCAGGCGTGCCCGCACCTTTCGGCTTCGGTCAGCATTCACCAAGGCCAACTACCTACGGCAACGGCTGGCGGCTGGCACGGCCAAGGAGGCGAACAAGACGCTGCGGTTCTACAAGCAGAACTCGGACGTCGGGCTCAAGATGAAGAAGATCGGCCAGGTGTGCGACATAGTATTCGTAGCAATGACGGACGCAGCCTGGGGAGTTCGACAAGACGGGTCCAGTCAAGGTGGCTACGTCATCTTGGCATGCCACAAGAAGATATTCGACGGACGCGAGTCCGACTTCAGCGTGATCGACTGGAAGTCCTTCAAGCTACTGCGCATGGCACGGTCCTCCCTACATGCGGAGTCACAAGCAGCAGCAGCGGGCATGGACGGCATGGAGTTTGCGAAGCGATTCTGGGCAGCCATGATCTACGACGGCGTGGACATCACGAAGGACGAAAGCACTCACATGGCGGGTGAGTCGGCATTAGTTGTGGACGCGAAGGCGCTCTACGACGCGGCCCAGAAGAAGAGCATCACTAACTTACAGGACAAGCGGACCGGCATCGAGGTGCTAGCGCTACGTGAGAGGATGGAGGCTACAATGACACGCTGGAGGTGGGTACCTTCAGAGAGGCAGTACGCGGACGGGCTCACGAAGATCGCGGCGAGACAGCTCCTCGCCGACAGTCTGCGACATGGGAGGCTACAGCTCAAGCACGACCCGAATTACACGGCGGCGAAGAAGAAGACCAAGGAAGAGCGACAGGAGAGCATAGATCAGACGAGGCTGGTGACATCGGCGGCGACGCGGAAGGCAACAACACCATTCATGCAGCTGGCAGTGTTCGCAACTTGCTGTTGCAGATCAGCGGCCCGTTCAGGCTACGACATGAAGGACGAGAACGACGGCCACGGTATCGCGATCTGGTTTGCAATGTTTTTTTTTCCTACTTCTTGGGTTATGTGGAGCCTACCCTGTTGCATCCTACCTGATCAAGATAAAGGAGGCTGAGTACAAATACAAGACGGAGCTGGCGGTTCTACGGGCGAAGGCCGAGAAGGAGCGGATCGAGAAGGAGAGCGAGCCGAAGGAACCACCAAGAGACAAGCGCGGTGGCTCGTCGAACGATCTGTACGCGGCCAGAACGGTGGGAGTGCAGAGTATGACGACATACAAGCTCAGCAGAGACGTCTGGAGGTTTCAGCATCAGACGCAGGGTTTTCGCAGAGCGGGCGAGGTGACGACCGAGCCAGAGTTGACGGACGGATTTCGAGCTCACAAGTGAGGCTCACAGCTAATATTTACTATTTCTTCATTGCGGGTTTGATTTGCATGCCGCCCGAGAGTTTAGGACTGTAGTTTTTCAAGATTGATCCACAGACAGCGCGATATTTCGGTGTTGTGTATTGTAGCGTTGAATTAGTTACACTTCCTGACGCATTATAGTGCAGTTTATGTATGTCTTTTTGTTCATGCAATCTTAGGTTACTTATCTGGATTTGTTATATTTCAGATTGAAAGATTGCTTATCTTTGTTTCATTTGTTTTCACTATTTCACGGGTGTGAGATATACGCTGTACATCTAGTGTGCATGCTCGTGTGTGTGTGATGTATGGCACGAGCCCGCAACCGTTTTGGCCCTGGATTGCGGCAGGGCCCTTGAGTCAGACAGAGCGCGCTGTGAGAATGATGTTCTTTCTTCAGCAGCATATTCATTGCCATCAAAGACCTCGGGAGCTTTGATAAGTTCATACCTCCTCCTCCTCCTCCCCCTCCTCCTCCTCCTCCATTCCATTTCCTTATGCGTAACTCCTCCCTGTCGCACCCCGGGGCCAGTCGGAAGGGCGGGCCTGGCGCTTAACCTGAGACTTCCTTGCCATTCATGAGCCTGAAGCTTACAAGCTGGCATCAGTTTTACAGATGGAGGGCGGGCCGCTTCCAACATGTGGCTCTCGCTTGAGCGCTGGGCACATTCATTTAACAATTTGCAAGAGCTTCACGGATTGAAGGCGGGCCGTTTTCAGCATGTGGCTCTCGCCTTAGCGCCGCGCGTATTGGCTTCAAACATTTGCAGTATCTTTATGGATAGAGGGCGGATGGTTTTCAAAATGTGGCTCTCGCCTTCGCGCCGCGCTCATTCCTTTTAAACATGTGTAATCTTTTCACGGATTGAGGGCGGTTCATTTTCATCATGTGGCTCTCGCCTTAGCCAGGCGCGCATTCGTTTCAACAAATGGCGGACCCTTCCGTGGTTCTCATGGTTAACGTGCCAACCAGGGTGTTTGTTGATTCGCGGTGTTGACGTCCCAGACGTGGTGTTCTGGTAAGATTCAGAATCGTCAAGACGCAATAGTCAGGTTGACTCGTGGCGTTGAAGTCCTGAGAACGGTGTTTTGGCACGCCTCAGGATTTTGAGACGGTTGTCCATCAACGGGGTACTTCCCTCAGTGGAGATGAACCGTTGTAGGGGCCTATGGAGGGGCACCTTGGAGGAAGGGTGTATTCCCACATCGTTGATGAGTCTTGGGCTTGCACTGGTCCTCCTGGTCGTCCTCCTCCTCCTCTTCCTTTTATTCCTGCGTTTCCTCCCCTCTGCTCTGCATTGGCGCCCCTCGAGGTGACGATCTCCCCCGCTCCCCCCCTCCCGCGCAAGGCCTCTCATCTGGGTGATGGCGCGGGCGACGAAGGCGAGTTGGGAGGGAAGCGAGAATGCCTTCATGACCTGGCGGGGCGGGGGGGCGCGCGGCGGGGGGGCGGGAGGTGGGCAGGAATGATGGAGGAGGGACGAGAGATGGAGGAGGGAGGGAGAGGGGAAGGAAAATGTGGAGGAGGAGGAGGAGGAGGGAGAAATGGAGGAAGGAGGGATGGAGGAGGAGGAGGAGGAGGAGGAGGAGGAGGAGGAGGAGGAGGAGGAGGAGGAGGAGGAGGAGGGGAGGAGGAGGAGGAGGAGGAGGAGGGGGGGGAGGAGGAGGGGGGGGTGGGGGAGAATGAGGAGGAGACTCCTGGGAGACTCCTGAGGCGCACGACGTGGCTGCCCACCTGATCATCTCCCTGGTCAGCCCATGACGAAGATCTGGTGGGACGAAAGGGAGCCAGCAAAGGCAAGGTCAGCGAATCAGCTCACGTGGCTGCTGTTCCCGACGCCTCCCGGCGCCGCAGGCGCCACCGCATCGAGGAAAGTGCCCGGCGGCGGGCCGAGACCAGCTGCACGCCGCAGATCTTGTGGGCCCCTCCTGTCCCGGTCCCTGTCCCCCACCGTTCGTCCGACCCGAAAGTGATTGGCCAATCTTCCACCACCACTACCATGGGTAGGGCGGGGGAGAAGGGAGGATGGGGAGGCCCCCCTCCTCCTCCTCCTCCTCCTCCTCCTCCTTCTCTCCTCCCCTCCTCCTCCTCCTCCTCCTCCTCCTCCTCCTCCTCCTCCTCCTCCTCCTCCTCCTCCTCCTCCTCCTCCTCCCTCTCCTACCTATGGTAGTGGTGGCGGAAAATCGGCCCATCAGAAAAGACAGGAGGGCGCCCAAGAGCTCCCCCCGCTCAGCCGCAGCCGCCGAGGAGGCGGTGACGCCGCGGGTGGGCGGCGACCGCGCGGCGTACGCCTGCAGAGCCCTCGGGTCGGCTACACGCAGGAGGGACCCTGGGCAAGAGTGACCTTTGGGGGCGCAAGGTGGCCACATCCAAGCGCGCAGTCAGCTGCTATCGCATCGCGTTCGGCGATCGGAGGGACGACGACGCGCCAGCACCAAGGGTCACTCCGGCGAAGGGCCACTCTTGCGTGCAGTCGAACGGGGCTGGAGGGGCCCGCCCCCCGCGCTGTGATGTGGCTGGCGCGCGTCGCGGCCTCGGCTCCTCGCGGGGCCACGACGCCCCTGCGCGTCTGCGGCCATTGTCTGCGCTTCGTGTCCAGGATGCCGACGTCGCCGACGAGAGATGGAGCCACCAGCGGGACTCCTCGTGCAGGATCTCGCGGCTCTACCCGCCCCCGGGCTCCCCTTCGCTCCTGTTTTTGTCCCATTGCGCATGGCACTACGGGGTCCTCCGTGGAGTTCCAGGTCCGCTATGACACGCGTCGGCGGACAGAGCAGAGACAGCGAAATTGGAAGGGAAGGAGGGGAATCGACGGGCGAGGCGCCGTTGCAATGAGCGTACAGCTTTGGTTTTGACTGTCGATCGACGTGCAAAGTTATGATTGACTGACAATCCCACCAGCCCTTTGGGCGTGAGTGGTTTAGAGAGCCCGCTCTGTTCTCAACCCCCTTCTTCCCCTTCGGGGAGGGGTTTACCCCTCCCCCTACCCCCTCCCCCTGGACCTGGAGAGGGCGCCTCGCGGGTGGTCAGAGGGGTCTTTTTCGACTCCTGGGAGGGCTAAAAAACGACACCCCTCACGAGGATTCTGGCCCCGACGGGGGGAGGGAGAAAAAATGCCCCCCTCTTCTTTGAAGGCAAAATCATTGATTTTACTACGGTTTTGGCCCCATTTTGGCCTTCTGAGGGGGCAGCGCTAATTAAAGCTCCCCTCTTCTTTCAAGCCAAAATCATTGATTTTACGAAGGTTTTGGCCCCATGTTGGCCTTCTGAGGGGGCAGCGCTCATTAAAGCTCCCCTCTTCTTTGATCGATCTCCTCCAAGATGGCCCCAAGAAGCGCCCAGGAGGCACCAAGAGGCCCCAATATGGCCCCAAGAGGCCCCCAGGAGGCCCCCAAGAGGCCTCCAAGAGGCCCCCAAGATGCCCCCAAGAGGCCCCCAAGAGGCCCCAAGAGGTCCCCCCGAGGCACCCAAGACGCTCCTGGAAGCCCCTGGGGCCGCCAAGAGGCCCCCAAGACGCCCCAAACGGCCTCCAAAAGGCTCCCAAGAGGCCCGAAGAGGCTCCCCCAAGGCACCCAAGACGCTCCTAGAAGCCCCTGGGGCCGCCAAGAGGCCCCCAAGACGGGACGAGGTGCCCGAACGCCTCACGCCACGAGGAGCCCGAACGACTCACACCAGGACGAGGGGCCCGAACGACTCACACCACGAAGAGCCCGAACGACTCACACCAGAAGGAGGGGCCCGAACGACTCACACCAGGACGAGGCGCCCGAACGACTCACACCACGAGGAGCCCGAACGACTCACACCACGACGAGGGCCCCGAACGACTCACACCACGAGGAGCCCGAACGAGTCACACCAGGAGGAGGGGCCCGAACGACTCACACCAGGACGAGGGGCCCGAACAACTCACACCACGAGAAGCCCGAACGACTCACACTAGGACGAAGAGCCCGAACGACTCACACCACGAAGAGCCCGAACGACTCACACCAGGAAGACGGGCCCGAACGACTCACACCAGGACGAGAAACCCCAAACGACTCAAACCACGAGGAGCGTTTTCTCTCCCTCCTCCTCCGCTTCGTCCTTCCCCCGCTCCCCCCACAAGGAGGATGTGCAAGGAGGCGGGAGGAAGGAGCAGCAGGGGAGATATGCGGGGCCAAGCGGGCACACGCCTGAAACACACGACTGCCGGCATGCTTCGCAAGAGTTGCTGTTGTGAGATGGGCTGGTGGGGATACGCGAAGCGTAAAGAATCGGGTTGGTTAGGTTTGCTCTTACCCTGAGGACATCCCCCCCTGTCGCCCCATAAGTCGGGATCGCCTTCGCTGCCTTTCAGCGAACGTCAAGGTAGGATGTCGTATGATGTCAGATGTGGTGCGAGCGCACCCAGCTTGCCCAATCGCACTCTCCTGCCCGCCCCGCCCGCCCAAGGCCCCTGACCCCCCATTAGTCCGCAGCAACGCGGTGTCGGACGGGCATGCGCGGCGGCGCTACTGGACAGAAGAGGCACTAGTGAGTGCGCTGGGAGGCTCGATCGCAAGTGGGAGGCCTAGAGGAGGAGGAGGAGGAGGAGAAGGAGGAGGACAAGGAGGAGGAGGACGAGAAGGAGGACGAGGAGGAGGAGGAGGGATGGAGGAGGAGGAGGAGGAGAAGATGGAGGAGGAGGAAGAGGAGGTTAGATTAGAGCAGCCCCAGGGGGAAGAGACTCGCAAGTCTTACGCGGCAGGATGCCCATCAGAGTGGACATTTGTTACCCAGCAACGGAGCTCCCAACGCTCCGCCCTGGGCCACGACAGGGCACCCCACCAAACTGAGAAATCACGATTCATCATTCCTCCTTTGACGAGCGACGACGCGGGCCTTGAGCGCCGCCATGCGGCGCTCATATTCAGGAACCTCATCGCCGTCCGCCTGAAACGCAGTCGGGACTGTCGTGCGGCTGCGCGCTCTGTGGGAAGGCGGCGGGGGAGGGGGCAGGTGAGCACGGGCAGTGCGAACAATGAACTGGCGCGCGCGGTTGCTCGGCCCGAGCCCCTGGGCATACTTAGACAGGACCTCAGATCCTCTGCACGAAGGGCGCTTATACACTTCCGCGAGCTTACGAGCACACCGCCGGGACCAACACCCACACTTCAAGCACAGAAACTGTAAAGTAGGCCTGCAGGTCCGTGGCCTGGAGGAGCTCCTGGGGCGGATCGCATGGGAAGCCGCGCCTGCAATCAGGCGCCCCAGAGGACACTACGAACGAAAGGAGGGGCCCCAGGACACCCCATCACTTCGGCACTAGGGACCTGCGGGGCCAGCGAAAAACAACGCTTGCACTGGGAGCCCAAGGGTCCATCCTGCCACTCATGCCAAGAGGGGCCAGCCCTGACAGAACGACGCCGCGCAAACGGGCGGTCACGGCGCTGACGGCGGTGCCCGCGCACGGGGGGGATGGCGGCAGCCAGCTGAACAAAACTGGAGACCCGATCTATTTCGCTATCAAGTCTCGTGGCTGCCTAAGGACCTATAGAAGCGTGCAACCTTAAGGCCTCCTTGGCATTGGCATCGGCCTCCCGATTGCTTCGCGCTATCACGCGTTCGTCAGGCGGCAGAGCATCGATAACTTCAACGCTGCGATGGGCCTTCAAATGCTGGATCGTCTGGATGCGTTGGAATCCAGGCAACGACCTTGCGAACGCAGAGACACCAGCGAACAATCTGTTGGGTCGAAGCTGCTCAGCGCGGGGCAGCAACGCCTGCAAGATGGCAGCCTTGCAATCAGCATGAATATACACTGGTCGATCTGCAATCTGGCATGCCACAGCAAGGGCAAAAATCTCGGCCATCGCTGGGGTCTGCGGGAAGCCAGCTGGGATTACCCCTCGGATAATCGCACATGTTTTGGGCGGCGAAGGCTGAAAGAGGATCACGCTGTACGAGGCTCGCTGGAAAAGAGAAAGTGTTGGCATAGTGCTGCTGCCGTCAACTGCGAGGTGGGGACTCAGCGAGGTTCCCGCAAACTGGACTATCTCTTCAATGGCAGTGTCTGGCAGTAAAACCCCATCGCCTGTGAGCACTCGGGCAATGGGTTGAAAAGAAATTGGTGGTATATCTTCATCCTCGGTGACAACCGCACTTCGCACATAGAGCCGGCTATCGGGCCCAACCTCAAGGCCAGACTGAATGAAATGCTGCGGGGCGTCGGAGGAGGCGCGAGCCTCGAGGATGTGCGGCAATTGACATTCATATAGTCTGTGATACACCGTGTCTGGCTGACCGCGCTGGCACTGACCTCCACGATCCGCAACGTGCCCTTTTTCATGGGCGTGCGAATCCGTCCAGAGGCAATCACACAGACACGAGCGAACTACATATTTCTGATAACGCGTGTACTTCTTGGTTCGAAGCGCACGACTGACAGGCTCC